CTTTTTCTAAAAATTAATTTACTTTTATTCTTCTTTATATTTGTGTATCCATATAAAATATTAATAAAATAAATTTAAAATGAAAATGAAAATAAATAAATAAATAAAATTTAGCTACAACATCTCTAATAACTATGCTACAATTTTTTTCTATAATACAGTATGAAAAGTCAAAATCTATAAAAAAGTTTATATCCAAATGTAACTATTATATGTTATCAATTCTAATATTAATTATATTAATTAGTTATTAAATACATTTCATAAAATATTATTTTCTTTTTCTACACATTAATTTCAATACTTTTTATTGATGAGAAAAAAAAAATTAATATATTATTTTCATCTCTTTTATATAGTTTTACAAATTTCTTCAAATTTAGAGATTTTCATCGAATCGCAATATCAATTAATAGTTGTTGGAGAAAAAAAAATCCTAAAGATTTAAAATTGTTTATTTTAACATAGTTGTTGGAGATGCTCTTTTCAACATATGATTGAGATACTTCTTGCAAAGAGGAACAAAGAAATGATACTTCGGTGTGACATTAGGTCAGGATAACATAAGGTTAATCTAGTCATTTAAAACATTTATGTTTTGTTATAGCTAGCTTACTAAACATTATCTAGACAACTTGTTTGGTACATTTCTTCTAACTTAGAGCCTCTTAATGCTCAAGTTTTCCCTTCCTTTTTAGGTCCTTCTGCTACGGAGCCCAGAGCTATGGAGACGGATGTCTACGATAGAAAGAGCACTTCTGAATCATTTCAGTTCTTAGGTAACAAGCTAGTCAGTTGGATTTAAAAGAAGCAAAATTGTGTTTCAACTTCTACTGCAAAGACGTGAATATGTGTATATATATATATGTTCACCATCCATGTTATATGCATGCATGTTTATGCATATGAGTGTGAGGAGAATTTTTATTTTATTAAAAGTCTTCACCGACCGATGAAGGAAACAAATAGTCAAAAATTCCAGAATTCAATCCAAAAACACTAAAATTCACTCAAAAATGAACATAAATAACTCAGATCCTAGCCGTCAAACACCAAATAGATAATTGTTGTCAAACAACCTCATTCCCGATGATTATCAAACTGCAAGACACCACTGACTTTTACAAATATACCGAAGATATTGCAAAGCATCGAGGTTGAGTGTTTACATGACCTTCTTATACTAGTTGAACTTTCATTTATGAGTGGTGCTATTAACAACCCCAAAACATTGTTTCGGACACAAGTTCAAGAATTTTGACATAGATTACTTTGACCAAACTGTTTTCGTGACACCCGTGAGACCACTTAAATAACATTAAACCTTCACAACAAAAACACTATGAAGGTAAACCTTCACAGTGTTTTTCTTGTGAATGTTTGCTTTTTTTCATACCTTCACAATGAATTGCTGTAACATTTCAGTGTTATTTCGTGGTCTCACGAGAGCATGGTCAAAATAAAATAATAGGAAAATAGCCAAACCACATGTGAGTCATATGTGGTTTTACATGCGACTATAACACAGGTCAACAAGCGTGAGCAGACGACCTGGGTTGCCTCAAAATCGCATGAATCACATGTGATTTAGTGTAATATCACATGTAATTCGACCTTTTTCGCGTTCTTTTATTTTGGTTACTGTTCTCGTACGAATCTGGCCATCTCTCTATATAATATATATTTGTATGAATGAACAATCTTTGGCAACTGAGAAAAACTTAAATATAAATACAAAAGCACAGACAAGAGCAACAGATATGAGAAGAATGGTAGTCCCACCAAGAAAAATCATCAGCAACAGAAATCACAAAGTGAAAAAGGTGGGTGGGTAGAATTAGTTGAAACCAATTCTGTAAAACACCTGAAAAAGAAACAAACCCATAACTTCAAGATGCTTATAATCCAGATAAGATGTGAACAATCTTAAACAGCTATAACCACAACGGTGGTGCCTGATTGGTCTGAGCTTGGCTCCAAAGATCAAAGGTACCAGGAGGTCATTGGTTCAAATCCAAAAAGGAATAAAAATCCCCTTGTGGCCACGGAGGTTCAAATGCGGTGACTCCGGGCTATCTGTAAAGCAGGTGATCGCCCTGGGATTAGTCGGCTTGCATAGCGGGTTGGATATCCAGGTTAATCAAAAAAAATCTTAAACAGCTATTTTGATAAAAATGTGCCATGAATTCTAACTCAAACGGAAAGCACATATGCAGTTATAGAGCTTTAAATCAGAGATTCATCCATTAATTAGTCATTAATTCTCTGCTTAAACAAATCAGTGGTAAAAAATCAGGCTTGTAAGCAATAGAGGGAAGTTCGGTTGAGAACCTGTTTTTTGTTCAGAACCCGAGAACCGCCCATAATGCGCCACATGTCCTTTTTCAGGATGAATATTCATCGTGAATAACACATTCATGATGAATATAGATGTGTTACTCATTAATCACACATTTATAATGAATATGTTACAACATTCATGAAGAATAATACGTCCATATTCTTAATGATTATACCATGTGTCGCGTTGTGGGCAGTCCCCCGCTTCTCAATGGAGGTCCCTTCCCATAAGTAATATATCTATATATATACACATCAACTTTGAGCTATAATCAGTACAAGAGACTAATTTTTGGTAGCTTTCCTTACAAAAAATCAGACAAAATCCAAAGAAAAAGGTCATCTCAAGATCAAGTAACTAAACAAAATGTAACTTACAAAGATCATGGCTGCTTGAGTTTCAACTTCTGTTTGCAGATGCAACAGCTTCTTCATGTGCAACTTTGTAAAATGAGCTCATTGTGGTGATAGCAACTGCAGCTCCAAATAGCGATGCTCGTGAAGATTTCAATATCCGAACTTCTACATAATCACCAACTTTTGGATTTCGATCCCCATCACCATCCACCCAATCGGGTACCGGAGAAGTAGTAAATATAACCCTATGGCCTCTATCACTCTTCCCAATTAGCTCTGTTTCAGGAGCTCTCTTATTCGGTCCTTCAACTAAGACAAGCTGAATACTGCCAATTTGGGAGTCGAAACACTGACCTGTACTCTCACGAAATGCTTCAATAAGTTCCGTTAATCTCCTTTGTTTTACCTCCTCGGGAACGTTATCGGTATAATTTCTATGAGCATGGGTTTTCTCCCTCATGCTATATGCAAACATGTATGCCATATCATAACCAACAGCCCTTACAAGACTCAAAGTATCTTTGTGTTCCTCCTCTGTTTCATCACAGAAGCCTGTGGAAAGAAATTACTCAACTTCAAGAGAATAGTATAAATAAAACAATAGATAATACTCAAAAACATGCACTACAATAAAATCGGTTTTATAGGACGCAAAACATAGGGGCTGTTTATTTGCAGCTTAATGAGCTTAATCATCTGGACGGTTAATCACTGAGACATACAGGAGTGTTTCTTTATGAGCCATTAAGCCAAAATGACTATATGGAATAAGCCAGGACCTCTCACTTGTCCCCATTAAGCCACCTCAAACAAATTAATGCCAGAAATGCATCAGAAATGATCCAACCCTCTCTTTTTGCCTCCCTCAAACCCTTCGGTCACTCGTCCCTCACTCAGACATACTTATCTAGATAGATAACTAAACCCATACAAGGATTAATGGAAAAAAGGTAAACAACCCCTAAATCTCCTAATAGACCGTTTTATAGGACTAAACAATTGTGTCCGATGTAAAGGTGTTGTAACAAGTTTATGACATGTTTGAGAGTGTGAACAAATTTTTTAAGACACTAAATAAAGTGTCCTATTAGTTTTATATATGATATTATTCGGAAAAAATGTCTTGTAAGAAACAAGTGTCCTATAAAAAGACGTGTTCATAGGAAACTCATAAAAACTTGTTAAGACGTTTAAAAGCAACCTATCAACTGATTGTACCACTTTTATATAGAACACACAATTGTTTGGTCCTATAAACTTTAGTCATATAAAGCAGTCTATTAGGATATTTAGACATATTTGACATCCTATAAAACCGATCTCACTGTAGTGATATTAAAGAGAATTAAGACGATATAACATTCAGGTGTGAATGCAACACTTTGAGGATTCTTACCACATATAAAATCACTTGTTAATCCAACATCCGGTATTATATTCCGTATCTTGTGCACAAGTTCTAAGTACGCTTCTCTTGTATACCCTCGTCTCATTCTTTCAAGCATGTTGCTATTTCCCGATTGTGCAGGCAAATGAATATTTTTGCAAATATTGTGTCTATCTCGCATTATATATAGCAACTCATCCGGGAAATCTTTCGGGTGTGGAGAAGTGTACCTAAACCGCATCTCTGGGAACTCCAAAGAAAGTCTATCCAAAAGATCAGCAAAACGCAATCCCACACTTTTCACCTTACACTTGCTGGAAAACCCGTCACTTAACTTCCAATTGCCGCCAGCCTCAACTTCCTCATCATGTTCATCGTTGTAACTATTCACATTTTGACCAAGAAGGGTGACCTCTTTCACGCCTTCCTTTTCAAGTTCCGCCACTTCTTTGACTATAGATTCAACAGGTCGAGACCTCTCTCTGCCTCTAGTGAATGGAACTATGCAAAAAGAACACATATTATTACAACCCCTCATCACCGACACGAAAGCAGAAATAGAATTTTTAGAGATGCGAACTGGACTTATGTCGGCATAAGTTTCTTCAAGAGAAAGAAGGGTATTGATCCCTTTTTGCCCATTGTCTACCTCCTCTAGTAAACGTGGCAAATCCCTATATGCATCTGGCCCACAAACAACATCGACCATTTTGTCTGCATCTAATATCTTATCTTTCAATCTCTCAGCCATACAACCGAGCACGACAACTTTTGGAGGACGCAAAGATTGTGACCGACCAGTTTTAACATTACTCTTCCAGTGCCTTTTCAAGAACCAGAAATAATTAAGTCTCTGCCATACTCTTTGTTCAGCATTGTCCCTAATCGCGCAAGTGTTGATGAAGATTATCTCGGCACTTTCAGGCTCGTCCACAATTTCATCATATCCAGCTTTTTTCATAACAGACAAGACAATCTCCATATCATTTACATTCATCTGGCATCCATATGTTTCCTGATAAATACGACTTCTTGGAAGAACTTCAGAGGACGGAACAGCACTAGAAAGAGTAAAATAAGAATATGAGTTCTAAAAAACGACAGTGTCACCATATGAACATCTTTTGTAGCAACCCTTGTAAAACAATGTTAAATTTGTAAATAAGGGAAGTGACAGATGCATTGAAACAAGATTCTTAAGACCATTAAGACAACATCGCCTAAGGAACACTACAATACCAAACCAAACCAAAGGAACCCTGTGTATTCCATCTAGAGGTGGGGTTTGGGGAGGATAAGTTGTAAGCAGATCTGACCTCTACCACAAAAAAAACACTACAATTTCTTGAGGAAACAAATAATATATCTTGCATACAAAGGCTTCTACAATTCACTCAAGATTTGCATGGTTTTTGTTTGTAGAAAGACATCTAGTAAGGTTTTGGTCATTTAGGTCGAGTTTGGTATGTGGATAGGACTCAACTAGACGTGCGAGTGAGGTAGGCGGGTGAAAGGTTTGTAGAAGGTTTTAGGGTTTTAATTTGACATGGGCAGTTTAGTAATTTACCAATCTTTTCTCCTGATTTTTATTCCACCTATTTTGGTGGATTTTTGTCCCACTCAGTTTCGTCCTCTCCCGGTCTAATGTCTTGCAAGTTGCAAACGTGGGACACAAAGTTTTGTTGAGTCTTGTCATGTCCTATTCTGTCTCACATACCAAACTCACCCTCATGATGTGGGATGTTGATAAACTCTCCTATCCAAATGTATCTACGGATAAAAAGCGTGGATTCAAACTTGCTTTTGTTGTTTACCACCATAATTGACTCTCTGAACAAGAAAAATCATAACCATCTCCATCGTACCTCCTTGCCAATATGACGCCAAACCCCTATGGATACACCTTCGATCACAAATTTAAGAAGCAAGATTCATAATAAATAAACTTTAAAGAGACAAATATTCCCTCCAACTCCAAATAAACAATCAATTTCCATTGCATTTCGAGTGTTGGCATCATTTTTAGCCCAAATTATGGAAAGTCCAATTCTCACCTATACTGTGCATTTGAAAGTTGCAAGAAAAACACCCATAAATGTGAGATCAGTTATAACTTGAGAAACCTATCACTTCTTCTTCCTTCCCATAAGAAATAGCTATATTTTGACCAAGAATGTCACACAGCTCATTTTTTTAATTTCAACATTGACATGGATTTTAAACTTTCTACAGAACAAGTTACCCACAAAACACAAAGAATAAAATGTGGATTCTTATCAAACTTGTCTTTGTTTTGGGAAGGAAGTTGTGATTATGTGACATGAAAATGTTCAAAATTCAATCACCTAGGATTTCATTTATATCTAGAACTCATTAATCCAAATTGGAAAAAAAAAATTGGAATCCAGTGATCGTATTCACTTACTCATCGGAAGATGTGAGAGCAGTGGCTTGAGCTTGAGCTTGAGCTTGAGCTTGGAAATGTTGAAAGCTTGGTGTACTGTTCTTCCTATCATCATTGAATATGGGGTTTCCAGAACACTGTGACAAATTTCTGGAGAACTTGAGCGAGAAAGGTCTTTTGAAATGGCGTTTTTGGGGGAGACGGGATGAAATAATGAAGAATTGTTGGGAGTTTGATGAGGAGGAAATAAGCCTGTGATTGATGCAATGTCTATGGAGTTTGATGCGAAGGGGGTGAAGAGTGAAGAAGGAGGAGAGAGACGCAGCCATGGGAGGGAGTGTGTCTGTTTTCCGGTGGGAGGATGCGTGAGGTTTGGATAGGGGGCGAACGTCTATTGAAGCCCTCCTACCCGCATGAATCAGTGGAGAACCCGACCCGACCCGATACTGGTTGATTGGATCCTGTCTATTGGATAGTCATTATAACCTCCGTATGTGACAAAGGGAACATTTAACAAATTCAGTGAGCACTAATCATGGTAAAAATTGTACGTTTCCCTTGTCGGATAAGACTTTTAGTCACTGTATTGTTCTTACAGGTAAGATTCATGATACTTACCATATTCATTCGGTATGGTAATGTGAGTTGGTAAACGTTTTCCCCGTAGGATTCCATCTCGATCCTTATACTAAGAATTTGAGGATAAGTATTTATAGGGTGTCCTTTATCTTATCAGATGATGGGGTTTTTATTTTCAATCAAATATCTTTACGATGTTTTAACAATGACAAAGCACTGGGACCAAAATATATATCTTTTTCATTAGAGCAAGAAACAAGTTAAATTTCAAATTGTCTTAATAATATTTTAGTTAATTTGACACATCTAAAAATAAATAGCGTTTGTAATTACTTTGAAGACTTGAAGATAAGGACGTAGACAGATTGGGTCAATTGGATCATGAATCAAAATCTAGAGTTCGATGGGCAAATTACAACAACGGTAAAGTGGGTAATGAGTTGAACGAGTTGGATTGATCCAATGGACATAAACACTCGGTTTTATTTTCGTCATTTCATTAATTACAAAAAAATAAAATTAAACAAAAACCATTCATATTTTTCATATACTTAAACGAAAAAGTATATAGATTAAATAGTTATATTTCATGTCCAGTCATATCTACGTACTAAACGCTACTTAAACAACGAGGTAATTTGCCGAACACTTAATTATTGTCGTTCATTTGACAAGTATCGCCCTCTATTTTGGTTTTGATGACTTAACCTCATATTCATAACCAATAAACTCTACAACAACGTTTGAGTAATTTGAATTACTCATTAAATTACTAAACTGAATATGACAAGTTGTTTGTCTACTCTTTAACATGAGTAGAACTGAACTTGGACTGTATTATCTTATAAACAATTTTAGAACATTGATCCCATTTGTTTTTTGGTAACCTCTCAAAAGAGGAAGTCAACTTGATAGCTTCTAGCCTCCTAGGAGGTCGAGGGTTCAAATTTCACCAAATGTGATGAGAGTGTGTGAGTTTATTTGTTGTATTTGTCATATATAAATATTATATACTTTAAAAAAAATTACCATATTTAAATAGAGGCGGACACATGTGTGTATGGAATGGCGAATAAAGGCAGTTCATTAGAATTACTTGTTGTAAAATCCTTTTAGATCGAATCAAAATCTTATAAATGTAAAAAGAGAAGTTTGATGTTAATACACATGAGGAAATTTGAAAAAAAAAACGTTGCTAAATGAATCATTTGTCTGTCAAAATCATATATTAAAAGTGTAAAACGATTTATCGATGTTAATATGTATGAATATAAAATTGATAAAAAAAGATCTATTTATCGAAAACTTATTAGATAAGCACTTACTAGAATACTTATATCACCAGATGAACATAGACAAAGACCGGGAAGCTTAACCAGTAAGAGACATGATAACAACCATGGTTCTTACTCGGTAAGTGAGAAAAAAGACTCTTACTTGGTTAATGTTTATCGGACAAGAGACATTTACAAGCAATCCATTTTGATTGCAAATAATGTCAACCAACAAGATAAAAGAGGGCGGTGACTCTTGCCGGTAAGCATTCGGTAACTGATCCCTTAGCAATAATGGGTTCCCTTAAGTAGCGTTTGATATGCAGCCATGACTATACAAGACATAATAAAACTGGACATGACTAAATAGGACAAGAAGGTTGGACGGGCAAATTGTCTGTCTGATGTTTAATACGACTAGGACAAGATTAGATAAGTTGCCCCTAAAAGTTGTTTGATTATTTTATGTATCATATAATAGTTATTAATGACAAAATAAAATAATTTAGTTTACAAACATTTTGCATAATTTTCATATACCTAAATCCGTACATATATAACTAGAAGGTACTCGTGCAATGCTGCGAGATACATATTCTTTTTAATGTTTCGTTTTATTTTTTTGTTTTTATTGATATAATACGGTTTATGTAGTTTTGAGAAAAATAATGTTTTTACTTTTGAATAAAAATAAA